AATGGTACCTTAAACATTGCAAGTTAAGCTGACAGAAAAATCAGGCAGGCCCTGGCTGGAGATGCTCCCGACTGCTCTGGTGACAATATGAACCTTCCCTGATAAGGAATCTAAACATACTCCAGCAGAAGTTGTCTTTGGAAGGCCGCTACGAGCTCCCGATCAGGTTAAGCCTAGTCAGTTTAGAGATTTGCATGCAAAAGATAATGAAATGCAGACCTACTTGGTGAATTTAACTCATGCTATTACTAAATATCATTTACAGACGGTAGAGGTGCAGGAGGTACCACTAACTGTGGAATCATTAAATCCTGACATCCAACCAGGGGATCAAGTACTGGTTAAAAGATTTAACCGGAAGGTATTGATGCCCAGATGGGAAGGACCATACGATGTTCTGCTAACGATTCCAACTGCAGTTAAAATAATTAAATAAAATAAAAATTAAGTGGATACATTCAAATCATTGTAAAAAGGTGCCATCATGAAGCTAAGACTGTTCTATATTATCAGGATAATAGTCCTCAGGCTGGGAGTAAGTGAGGGTGAGGGTGGCACTGTATACAGATCAGACACGAATGATAGTGTCCCAACACCTACTTTGTGCCTATCCTACACTAATTCACCAGCCCCCGACTTCTGTAGGAGCTATCGTACCTACTGCATATGTGCGTTAAACCTAAGTGCCCTTGAAGATGCCACGATCTTCTGCGTAAATACTAACAGTAGCCTGACAAATACAAATTTGGCACGAGCACTATGTCTTTGTAATTTGACTGGCACCACTTTGACTAATGATAGGGTCTGCAATATTTCAGTACAACACTTGAATGGAATTAATAGTCCTCCAAGCAAAAGCAGAACTTTTACAGCCCAACAAACCATTAATCTTTATTCCCTCGACGACCTTCAAGGGCCAGGTCACGTACAACAAAGAGATTTTCAATTTAATTACACTATCCCTTGATACCAAAGGAGGAAGGTGCAAAGTAGGTAGTTGACCAGTTTACAACCTGGAAGTCCTAATCTCTACAGTGAATGGTACAGCAGGTTCATCAAGCAGTAAGGAGTAAAAACGGTTCTGTACCTTAGAAACATTAGATCGTGTGCACTCCACAAACTAGGTTGGTGGGAGCTGGCTTCCCTACTCAGGGGACTCCAATCCCAGACTGTACTCTGTGTGCACTATTACCTTCACATAGATGAGCCATATAGCCATCAACACTGTGAAGACACAAGAGATAAACTGCCAATGCGCCAAATTAAATGTGGAGGGAAAAATCAGAAGGGTCGAGAAAGTACGAGATGCCAGGAGGCACCCAAAGGGATACCCATCACTACACTGGTATATAGAGCAGACAAATAGAAGGGGACCCAGGGTAGGGTGGTCTTAACCTAGCCACTGTCATTACATAATTACAGACCAAGACGTGCATAAAGAACCAGCCAGAGATGGGTTTAGAAATGAAACGGCCTTTGATGGAGAGCCCCACGAATGTTGGCAACAATGGGCAGAACATCCTGCTACACGTTTCAATATAGTAGGAAATGTAGCCTGAATTCTATGGAAACGACCATGTGCGTGTGTAACCATACAGCTTACTTCTGGTTGCCCATTGATTTTAATGGATGCTGCGCTTTGGTGCATTACGTCCCCACCTTTTGACTCACAGGAACGCCCCCCAACTCCACCATCTGAATGGACATGGTACCACTATATGAAGTGGAGCAAGCGTAGTCTGAATTTTGAATACTCTAGATGGCAGTACTTCTTTGCTGCTATGCTACCAAACTACGGTATGGTACCAGCTCTTTATGAAATAAATGAGTTGGCACATGCATTCGCCAAGATGGCAAACGAAACTGCAATTGCAATGGGATTGGTGAACCAGGAAACATTGGAAATAAGGATAATGGCCTTACAAAATCAGATGGCCTTGGACTATGTGCAAATGCTCAAAGAGGCACCTGTGCCATTACTGGACCCAAGTGTTGCTCGTGGATTGACAACTTTCAAAAATGAATTGACAACATAACTCAGCAGATTGAGTAAGATTGGAAAGATATGGAAAAAGGGGGGTCTGACAGTGGTGGATGTGGCTGGGATCCACTTTATTGGTTAAGTATTTGGCTTAAAAGGTACAGGTCTGACAATATTAAAATGGGTAGGAATCATATTAGTAATATATGTAGCCATTAGATTTGGATTGGCCTGTTGCACTGGATGTGCTTCTAAACTGGGAAACAAGGTATCTTCAAATAAACAAATAGTTATACTGATCATGGAACAGTCTGCCAAATTGATGAGGATAATGGTGTCATGAAACTTGCTAACGTTGATCCTTCTGTCTTGCAGTAATTCGATTTAACAAGATGAACCTTTGTTGGCTGTGTTACCCGTTGACTGTCTTTTTTGCTTTTGTATGCTTGTATGCAATAATATACACAGTGCTGAACTACAACTCCAGTGTAGCAACAAGTGGGCATTATTGACTGCTACTTTTCTGTTTTAATGTGCTTTGATAAGCACAAAGGAGGGAAATGTGGGAGCATATCTGTTAATTTAGGGTTAATGGATGAAACTGTAATCCCATTAGGCCAAGCAGCAGTGACCATTATTCAACCTTACCTGAACACTTGTTAACTAATGAGTTGAAATTGTAATCTCATTAACTGTATCTTGTTTGTTCAGTTCTCTGTAAATCTTGTTACTATTTTGTGACCATGTGTCACACGCCCATCGCCTGATCCAAATGCCAAATGGAACGATTTGCATCTACTCAGATATGTATAAATACTGTGTGTGTATTATAACCCTTTGCTATTCTCAGACTTATAGTTAGGGTATCAATACCTTGCTGTCAGTAGGAAAACCAGCTCTTGTACAAGTAAAAGATATTAAACTGAAAGAACTGCGGATGGTAAATCAGGAACAAAAACAAAGTTGCTGGAAAAGTTCAGCAGGTCTGGCAGCATCTGTGAAGGAAAGAACAGAGTTAATGTTTCTGAGTTCTGAGGGAGGATCACTGGGCCCGAAACCTTAACTCTGTTTTTTTGCCTTCACAGTAAAAGATATTGTTTGATTACAAGAATGTGTCTATGTGGTCCTCAAAGAACCCAGTCATATAATCTTCAACAGTGGAATCAAACCCATGTTTCTGGCACTGTGAGGCAACGGTGCTGACCACTGAGCCACTGTGCCATCTAGAACTTAGAAATACTAAATTTAATTCCCTCAACCAAACAGTTGATATATAATGAGAGTAGGTGGGGCTCAAACACTGATTCCTTTGTACTTTATTAGACACTACCTTCGATGAAAAAAAAACCATTTAATCATGTCTGCTAACCAATTCTTAAAAGATGTCAACATGTACTTTAATCTTGCTTCTTAGCCTCTTCTGAGGGACTTAAACAAATATCTTCTGAAAATTCAACACACAGCCTCCACTGGGGTTCTCACACATCTATTCCACTAGTTATTTCCACAAAAAACCAGAGTAAGATTGTTAAACATGATATCCCTTTCATAAATCAGTGTAAACTTTGTCAACTCCCAGTGATATTTTCCAATTGTCCAGTGTGATGAAAGGTTTGTGAATAGAAAGTCACAACTTTTTTTGCAGAGCTTGGATGTTAAACTAGCGATTTATTTTTGTGAAGCGGTTTGAAAATTATCTTAGCATTTCCAGAACCATGATTTTAAACCAGTATGTGCCTCTTGGACTGTTAATAGACATTTGTTTAGACTGCAGGGGCTTATGTCAAGACAGAAAAACCATTAAGAGACATTTATTAGCTTGTTTTTGAGTTTAGATTAATTAAAGATCGATTTTATTTTATAGAAACCCAAAGAAAGCTTTTGGGACAGCATAAAGTAGCCTGTTCGAAGTCAGATGCAAGTATAACCTCCCCTAGAAAAGGGAAATTATTCAGAGCAATTAAGAAAATAAGTCATCTGAGTGAAAGGGTATAGTTTGTGAAACTAACAGACCAGGAGTATTTGGTTAGAACTCTGCAAATTATTAAAAGACTGAGGAAGGCTAAGCTCTCAGTGGGTGAGTAATCGAGGGAAAAGTCCTCACAGGTCAGAGAACCAGAATTGAAAAGAAGCAGTAAAATCAAAATCTGCATTAGGTAAGGAACTTGTGGATTTTTGAGTAACTGTGAAGTGACATTATTAGATAGTAGTTGGAATTTTGATTTGCTGTGTTTTTAAATCTTTCTAACTATGTTGTATTTGAATAGCCTGGGTTTTTTAATGTGTGTAGTAACTTTCTCCATGTTTCAGTGACATTAAAATAAATCAAAATATGATCCATTAAATCAGATTTCATTCTGGAATCATTTGAAGCATCAGTTCAGATCATAAGAAATTGGGGCTCTTTGAGAATCTGAGCTCCCGGAATTTAAGAGGGAGCAAGTGTCTCTTTTAAAGAAACAGGTGCATGGAACGACTGGACATTGGACAGCTTATTGCAAAACTCACAACATAATTAATAAATTAAATGAGACCAAACAACACTTGCTGAACAATCCCAAGTGTGTTTAGACTTAAATTTATACTAACAACCAAGTTAAGATCAACAATAAGGCTCACAAGTAGCTCACTTGCGCTTGCTAGAAGCTATGTATATTGATACACAGGGACTTTTCCTCTGTAGGAAAAAGGAACATTGCCAGTCATCTTGCATTCTTTGAATCAAGCAGAACGACAGGGACAATAGTTCCCTGTCGTTTTCTCTATGGGAAAGCCTCAACCTATCACACTTGCCAACCAATCAGCAATCTTTTCTCATGGAGTACAAATTGTTGCGCATCTTGACGTTTACCACTTTTGCATTTATCCTGATTAATGCCAGACAGATTTCAGCAGCAGCTATTTCTCCAGGAATATGCAAAAAGGACAGTGCTTATTTATTCACTGGTACAACTTTTTAAAAAATTACAGTCTTAAAACATTTCCTTCCGTACAATCCATTTAAAAATCCAATTTTTACCTCTGTCCAGAGATCTTCATATATTGTTTTCATCTCAGTTTCTAAGATGACTGACAAAGCAAGGCCTAGTGATTTCTCTAACTGACTGATGATGCCAGTAACATCCAAAGCTCGCTCTTGTGCTGATCGATGCTGATTATGTGACCTATTCAGCTCTTTCACACTGCTTACTGCAAGATAGAAAAATAATAAAAATGTCACGTGCTGTTTGAAACATAAGCTAAGATTGTTTATTAATTTCCAGCTAACCTATCAATTTATACCTGAAATAAGTTATTGTTATATTTATACCTAATTGTATAATTATTACAGAATGTTAAATAATTAACATAAAATCTTTTTAAAAATGTTACATTAATTAACTCTTTAAAAATTATGAAAACGCGTGCACTATGAATGTCACGATTTAAAAGTAGCTGTAGCTCACAGTTCACCATTCGGTTGCCATGTTTCCTACATTACAACAGTGACGACACTTCAAATTACTTCAATTGGCTGTGAAGCACTTTGGAATGCCGTGCAGTCGTGGGAGGTGCAATGTAAATGCAACTCACTCTAATGCAATAGCTTCCTTAGTCGCAAACAAAATAACAATGAACTCCAAGTCTATTCACTACATGACTCACAGAGCAATTTCAAGCAAAACAGTTGAACTTTAAGCTCAAGAAGGAGTGTGATTTTGTTGTCTTCTTCATCACTGTCTGGATACAAATGCAGAATTTTTTTTTTTTTTTTTTTTTTTTTTTTTTTTTAAAAACAGAATTGTAGAATGGTTCGAATGCCAGGCAAGTGCCAGGATTCTGCAAGAACAAAGTAGCTAGCTCCAATCCTTAGCATCTTCCCCACAGTCCTGCAATCATTTTCCTTTCAGGTGCTTACCTGATCGTTCTTCTGAAAACCACAAATGAACCGGACTCCGTTAACCTGTCAGATCATTAACACTTCTCATACAGAAAATCTTTTCTGTATTACATTTTATTCCTTAGCCAAGCACTGTGTATTTGATTTTTCCGGTTCTGATGCTTCTTCTGGTGGAAATGGTTTTTGTCTATCTATACCTCCAACATTCTGAGCAAGCTATCATTCTTCATTTCATCTATGGAGAACAAATTCACCTTCTCAGGTTTCACTACGTAACTGAAACCCTTGATCCCTGGAAACATAATGGTAAAACTTCTAATGCTCCTCCTGAAAGTCTTTACAATCTTCTCAAGTATTATGTCCACAATATCCCAGTGGAGGTCAAACCGAAGTTTTATAAAGGCTCACCTGCTTGCTTTTGTATACTATGACTCTATTAGTGTGAGTAATTGGGTTTGTGCAGAATATTGAGAGTTTGATGAGTCAGGGAAACTTTAATCTATTTCTATATCTATTGTAATCTATAAAAAAAATGGCGGTGCCAGAATGGTAGGGAGTGTTAGGACTCCTGAGCCTGTATGCTCCAAGCTGGCTGCATCCTTGTCTCTCTCTCTCTCTCCTTTTCCATCTTTTCCTGGGAAGCCAGATTAGTATCAGAGGGCCATCAGCAGCAGCATGGCAGGATTGAGTACTCCTGGCTTCAGTAGGCCCGGAGCTTGGACTCAAAGCTTGGTGCCCAGAGTGGAACTGTCGTAGGTCCACGACGGGGACTCAATGGATCATAGAGGCGAGGCCTGGTGTGGTCTGCCTGAAGGACTGTAATGCTCAACTTTTTATTATTTTTCTAAGTTATTCCTAAGATCCTGTACCCTAGGTACCTTTGTACTTAAGAGGGTACTGTAAGTGGTGATTTTGTATACTTTTCACTGTACTCAACGGGAGTACACTTGACAATGAACCTAATTACAGTTCTAAACAATTTCATTTTCTGTTTCATTTAATTTTATATTTCATGCTTAACATTTAACTGAAATTTACTGTTTAAATTCTAAACTTAATTGACGCTCAAACAGGAATATACAGGGATCTCCAAGTGGAGAGCAGCTAAACTTAGTTGATTAAGAAAACAAGAGTTCAGAGGCTGAAAACAACAAATGCTGGAGATCACAGTGGGTCAAACAGCATTCGTGGAGAGGGAGTAAGCTAACTTTTCATGACTCTTCATCACAGCAATTCAGAGGCACTATGTTCCTGTTAGGGTGAAGGGTAACAAAAACAAAATTGCTGGAAAAGCTCAGCAGGTCTGGCAGCATCTGTGAAGAAGAAAACAGAGTTAGCGTTTCGGGTCCAGTGACCACTCTGTTTCCTCCTTCACAGATGCTGCCAGGCCTGCTGAGCTTTTCAAGCAACTTTGTTTTCGTTCCTGATTTACAGTATCCGCAGTTCTTTCGGTTGTTAATTAGAGTGAAGGGTAAGGCTGAGTAAGGAACAATGGATGAATGAAGATATTGAGGTTCTAGTCAAGAATAATAAAAAATCATATATTAGATATAGACAACTGGGATCAAATGAATCGCTTGAAGAGTATAAAGTGTTTAGGGGCATTCTTAAGAGGGAAATCGTGTGGGCAAAGAGGGGCTGGCTATAAGATATCCTCGGAAGATAAGGTTAAAGATCATTCAAACAGCTTCTACAAGTACATTAAGAGCAAAAGAGCAACGAGAGAGAGAATAGGGCCCCTTAAAAATCAAAAAGATTGTCAATGTGTTCAACCTCAGGTAATGGGAGAGATACTAAATGAATATTTCACATCAGTTTTTCCTGTGGAGAAAGAAATAGAAGCTAGAGAATTCAGAAATAAATACTGACATTTTGAAAAGTTCACATTGCAGAAGGGGAAATGGTGGAGATCTTAAAAACATAAAAGCGGATAAAACTCCAGGACCTGAACAAGTGTATCCGAGGACGTTGTCGGAAGTTACAGAAGAAATTGCGAGGCCCCTACCAGAAATATTTGTATCAGCTATAACCACAGGTGAGGTGCAGGAGGACTGGAGGGTGGCTACTGTTGTACCTTTATTTAAGAAAGGCTGTAAGAAGCCTGGAAAATACCGACCTGTGAGTCTGATATTAGTGGTAGATAAGTTGTTGGAGGGGATTCTGAAAGATCGGATTTACACGCATTTGGACAGGCAAGGACTGATTAGTCCAGGGACAGTCAGCATGGTTTTGTGCGAAGGAGATCATCTCTCTCAATCTTGATTAAGTTTTTTGAGGAAGTAACCAAAAAGATTAGGAGGGCAGAGCGGTACACTTTATTTACACGGAGGCCGAGCTGAACAGCAGGGAGAGAGAAACGTACCATTTTGTAATAGCAGACTGCCACAGCCCTTAGGATAGTTTCTTCTGAATTGATCAGTGCAGTTGAAGCAGGTAAGGGGACCCAGGGGGCAGGAATGCAGGAACCTCAGCCTTTGCAACAGTCCACTAGGTTTGAGGTTCTTTCACCTTGTTAGGGTGAGAGTGAAGGATGCTGAGTGAATGGGTTAACTAGCCATGCTGCTGTGCTTTAAGAAGCCATTCCAGTCAGGGTAGCATAAATGGATGTAGTGATTAATTGGCACAGTATGCAGAGGAGGAATGACACTATTTACAGCAACAAGGAGCAAGAGTCCAAAAGACTGCATTGCTTGCTCAGTGTCCAAGTTTGGGACATCTGCTCAAGACTGGAGAGGAACTTGCACTTATATAAAATCAGTCTTTGTGGTCTCATTGGTACCAACAACATTGATCAGGATGGGAAAGAAGCCAAATTAGCCAGTACGAGAATTTAGGCATTTACTTAAGAAGGAGAAGCTCAAAGATACTGGACTGCTCGAGACTGCTACTTGAACCACATGTAAATTGGAATAATACAAATAAGATAACAGAAATGAACACATGACTCAAAAGACTGGTGTGGGAGAAGTGGGTTCTGGTTCCTGGGGCACTGACACCACCACTGGGAAAGTGGGGACTCTATAGCTTGGGTAGTCCACACCTGAACTTTGCGGGGACTCGTGTTCTGGCAAGCCACATAACTAAGGAAGTCAAGGGAATTTTGAACTAAATTGTATGGGCAAGCAATCAAATTTGAAAACATGGGGTAAACTGAAGAATAAAGATCAGGCAAGAGAGAAAGGTTATAATAGAAAAACATAATAATCGAGCAGTAAACCAATAGGTGAGGTGAGAGGTTACAAAAATAATACAAGGACAAAACTAAAATCTCAGTATTTGCATTCAAAACAAAACAAGTGAACCAATAGAATTTAAATAAAAATTATCTGACATCCATCACAGAGAATGAGACTGAGACTGAGGTAGGATGACACAGATTGGGACCTGAATACCAAAGGGTACATGACATTTAGAAAGGACAGAGTGCTAGGAAAAAGTAGAAGGATGACCCTCCTAGTTAATGATGGTATTAGAACAATAGCCTTCCATGTAGACAAGGCAAAAAATATTCAAGAGCCAAGTGGATGTTACTATAGGAGGCTTTCCTTTCCAGATAGGTAAGCCATGTGATGATCTTGCTGAGTTATTCAACTGAATCTACTAAGCTGGAAAACTCATTTAAATCCATAAAATTGCTTTCTCAAAGTTTTTTTTGTTAAAATAGTGTTGGCATGAGTTGTATTTAACTTGAATTACAGAATCCCTACAGTGCGGAAAGAGGCCATTTGGCCCAACCAGTCTGCACCAACCTTCTGAAGAGCAACCCATCCAGATCCAGCCCCTGTCCCCATAATCCCGCATTTACCATAGCAAATCCACCTAGCCAACACATTCCTGAACACTATGGGCAACTTAGCATGGCCAATCCACCTAACCTGCACATCTTTGGACTGTTGGAGGAAACCAGAGTACCTGGTGGAAACCTACACAGACACAATGTGCAAACTTTGCACAGACTGCCGCCCAAGGCAGGAATCGAACCCAGGTCACTGGCGCTGGGAGGCAGTAGTGCTAACCACTGTGCCACCTATTTCTTTTACAACATTTACTATATATTTTTTTCCTTATCTCTCCTACCACTCCCAAAGTCTTTTTGTTCATGTTTTGATAGATGGATCTGGAAAGTCTATGACCTGGTACAGAAAAACTTGATGCAAAGTTGGTGACCTTGTATTTTCTCTGTTAGCTTCCATTATATTGGATAAGCAAGCGATCTGGTCGAAGGAACTTGCCATGAACAAATAGCAGCAATATATCAGAATTATGAGGTGGTTATACTTCTTCTGTTCCTTTCATAGAATCCCTAGTGTGGAACCAGGCCCTTCAGCCCAACATGTCCACACTAACCCTCAGAGCATCCCACCCAGGCCCATCCCCCTATAACCCACTTAATCTATACATCCCTGAACATTACGGACAATTTACAATGGCCAATCCATCTAGCCTGCACACCTTTGGACTGTGGAAGGAAACTGTTAGCATGGTGTCTAGATAAACTAACAACAGTATCCAATGTGCAAACTCCATGCAGTCACCAAAGGCTGGAATCAAACCCGGGTCCCTGGTGCTGTGAGGCAGCAATGCTAATCACTGAACCACTATGCCATTCATGCTTGGTTGCTGGGAGTTGTTACAGCAGGTCAAGAAGGCAGCTCACCATCACCTTCTCAAGGGCAGCTAGGGATAGGCAATAAATGCTGGCCAGCCAGCCATGTCTATGTCCGACAAGCATGACACTGGTCGGTGGCAGGGTGTGGCCTGGTGAGGCCTGGAGCAGGACTGTAGTGGTGGCAAAGGAAAAGTTGGAGTCTCTGTAACTTATTGTTTTTTAATGAGAATGGCACTTATGCATGGCAATTGTATAAACTTTTCACTGTATTTCATATTGAATATATGTGACAATAAATGATACAATCAAACAAAAAATAAATTATGCTCAATGGGTTGAAAAAGAAGGATGAGAGAAGGCTCGTACAGAACATAAACAACATGGCAAAGAGTAACGGACTGAATGACTTGGTTCAGTGCTCTTAATTCTATGTTTGACCTGTGTACTTCTCATGTTAAGCTGGTCACTCAATATTAGCTTCTTCATATGCTAACTTTGAAGAAGATCTGTTGATAGTGTTCATACTTACAGTCGCTATTTCCTAACAGAAGATTACAGTAATAGCTTCCTGCTTGCTCAATCAAGCACATAGACAGCAGAAGATATAGGAGGAACAAGATTAGACCATTCAGCCTGTCAAGCCTAATTACACTTAAGTCACGGCATCCATATTATTGATATATATTATGAACATCTGGGGCTAAAGTGCTTATCATTGTAGTATCCCATTCATAACAGTCTGCCAATGTGAGAGCAACCAGTTAAAACTACTGCTTTTTGTTCATTAGACAATGCTTAATCCATGCAAGTACACTACATCCTATCCCATGTGCTTTTACTTTGCAAGCCAACCTTCTGTGGCTGACTTTACCTAAAGCCTTCTAAAAATTCATGTTTTCTACAACCACCTTACTATTCCCTTTATCAGTTCTGTTAAGTAACATTCTCAAAAAACTCCAACCAATTCTTCAAACAAGATTTTCCATTCATAAGCCTACGTTGGCTTTGCTCAAACAGATTGTCGTTAGCCAAGTGTTAATTTATCCTATCCCTATAATTATGCCTACTCGTGAGATAAGGATAACAAGTCCATAGGTTCTGCTTTTCTCTCTCCACCTCTTAAATAGTGGGGTGACATTTGTGAACTTCCAATCTGTAGTAACCATTCTACTGTGGAAGTTGATCACCAATATATCTACCACCTCTGGTGCGTAGAATTGGTCCCAGGAACTAACTCATCCTCAAGCCAAGACCTAAATAGTCAATGATTTTATCAAAATTTCTGGAAAACCATGGGAAAGGCTCATGATGGATTTGTTCAATTTCAGAGGGAAGATTTATTTAGTCCTGTTCCACTATTATTCACGATAGCTTGAAGTGGCAACACTTCATTCACATACCACTGACTCAGTGATCAGAACACTGAAAGGGTTTTTTTGTGATGCGCAGTTTTCCAGAAGAATTAGTATTGAACAGACCCTTCATAAGTGGGAACTTATTTATGGAGGCAGGCATTGACCAAGAGACAAGTTCTCCATTCCACCCTCAATTGAACAGAGAGATGGGAAGATCAGTCAAAATTGTAAAGTCACTGATGCACAAGAATCAATCTGGGAATTAGCTCTACTCAGATACAGAGCAACACTATTGAAAAAGTGAGTACTCACGAGAAGAACTATTGATGGGAAGGAAGCAAAAAGCAGATGAACCAATTTTAGAAAACAGTCTCAAACTAAGCATAATGTCTCAATGCCACAACAGGTAAAATAATTAGAGAAGAGCCACTGCAAAAAGCAGCGGAGGTGCTACAACTCTAGACAAACAGTGAAGACTCTCAACCTTAAGTCTGATTAAGGAATAGGAAGTCAGAAACCACGGTCATCAGAAAAAACAGGTCAACAGATATCTTACAATGTCAGAATTCCTGACGGGATATTCAAGAGGATCAGGAAGGTATTCTTACATGGTGTGACGGGACAGATATAGACAGGATGTATCCCCTGGTTGGTGAGTTAAGAACAGGGGACATGATCTCAGAATAAGGGTCAGGGCATTTATGACAGAAATGAGGAGGAATTTCTTCCCTTAAGAGGGTGGTGAATCTTTGGAATTCTCCACCCCCGACAGCTGTGGAAGTTCAATCAATGAGTATGTTCAAGATAAATTGACAGATTAAATCACCCACTCCTGTTGCTACGTTCCTATGTAAAGGGGTTGATGCTTATTATCAGACTCAATGTCAGATTCTTGCTTGGAAATTAATTACAAAAAGTCTATGGCAGCTTTTAATGAAACAGCAAAACAATTTAACCATACAGAATGAGAAAGGCACACAGAGGGCTGTAGAGGCTGGGTCATTACGTATATTAAGCTGAGGTAGACAGATTTTTAAACAGTAACGGAATCAATGATTATGTGGAAAAGGCAGGAAAGTGGAGTTGAGGATTATGAGATTAGCCATGAACTCATTGAATGGCAGAGCAGACTGTTCTGGTCAAATATTGTTTAGAAAATAAAATTAGAAAATTGCTTAAATGTTTGGCAACTCAGTCAATATCTGAAGAGTGGCTAATTTTTCAGCTGTTTTCTTTAGAGTGGGATAGAATACCCAAGTTCTGATCAAGAATCCAATTCTAAATGTTATTTCTTGCATTTTCAAAGGCTGAGAATTTCATTAATCTTCAGCTCTTATAAATTGTGCAATTCCAGCAGTTCTTATTATCACCATATCCCCAAGTTACTTTAGAAAGGAATAAATAAGGACAGCAAAATATAAGTGGGGAAGTGGAGATGTTGGTAGAGGCACAATCAAAAAATAGGCTTTGAGATGTTTAAAAATGAAAAGAGGGAACCGAGGCAGGCAGTTTAGGAAGACAGTTCCTGAGAACTGGGATGAGTAAATTGATACCTCCCTTAGTGATAATCAAAGAAAAGGATATTCTTCTTCATTGTCATTGGGTCAAAATCCTGAAACTCTCTTCCAAACAGCACTGTGGATGTCCTTCAAGAAGGCAGCTTGTCACCACTGCAATTAGGGATGTACGATAAGTGATGGCTTATTCAACCAATACCCAGATTCCATGAATAGAAAGGAACACACAGTAGACCAGGGTTAGAAGAACTGATGACGCACATGAAACAGAAGGGTGGGAGTTGCTGAAGAAGGAATGAAGCCATGGGGGTAACAGAAGATGAACGCAAGGATGCCAAATACAAAATGCTGAGATTTAGCATGCCAATGTTGTTCAATAAAGACTGGAGTTTCAGGCAACTAAATAGTAGTAACATTTTGTAAAATAGGGTAGTCAATTTTTTGGAATCTCTGATTATGCCTTTAACAAAACAATATTCAGTGAAACATAGTATATTGACCAACCTGATGGAGATTGATTGAAGGCATTAAGGTCCTGAGTGTTTGAAACATCATTGTTGGATTTCAAGTCACTTAACTCAGTCAAGAGATCAACTTTCCTTACAGCCTTGACATTGCTTACCAGGGCTTTACTACAAAGGTTTTTATCATCACTGCAAGAGATAAAACACATGTTAGCAAAAGGCTTTGTTCCACAGAAACCGTGTTATGGAACATTTCTGGAGTTGGTTTCAAGTAATTGATTAAATAATGAGCATTTTTTACTTAAAACATAAAGGACTTTTATTTTCCCTCCCAAGACAGACAACTTAAGAAATATGATGAAAGTTCATTAGATTTAGTTACATGGAATTTCTGCTGTCAGCCTGTACACTGTGAACATTGTAATGTATAGGGCACACAGTTTCAAGGGATTACAATGTTTGGTTCTATCGAGCAATAGGAGTAGGGTTTGTTTCAAGGTGCTCACTGAGAGCAATTCAAAGGCTACAGGCAACTGGAGAAGAGGAGGACAGAGACAGAAACAAGCTCCATTCAGAAAAGTACTGTTTAGCTGAACTGCTGAAAACTGAAGAACATCGTTTCTGTAGTTGCAAATGAATTGAAAAGCAAAAGCAGTTTGATACTATGGTTTGATACTACATTACGAGTCTGGGTTTTTCCAAGCTGCTTGAGAAGAAGGCAGTCATGAACTGTCTTCAGGCAACTTCGAAATAACATTATGGTAAATCATTGCTATATACTGTTGTACATGTTATACAAAGATACACTAGGCCCTGATTTATAGTTACATTAGGAAAGAATTAATCTACCTTCTCCTTGTGTTCATGTCCATTTTGTAGTCTGTTTTTTCCCAAAGAGTCTCACTCTGGTGTGTCTTAGACTCTCCAAAGTTCTAGTGTGTTCCAACTCTACCCTCACTGTGCTAGTTATACCCTGTGATGCGTAGCTCATCACTGCAGGGATGGTCCAGGGTCCTGAAGTCCTTACACAACATGCCTCAACTTTTTATACCCTCATATCATAAACATTAACAGTTACATACATTCTCAAATGAACATTACATGTTTTTTTAATCATTTATTGTGCTTTATCCTCATCTTTCCAATTCCTTTTCAAGTCTTTGACTTGATTCATCTGTGTTGAGAAGTGGTTAAAGAAAATCTACAACATGGTACAGAATTAGTTGAGGTAAAGTTGGTTCTCTTTCTTTACTTCTGTTGACTTCCTTTGGATTAGAGGTTAAATCATTCCAGCTGAAATAATTTGGCGATGTAAATGGTAGGAATGTATGAGAATTATGAACTGGTTATATTTCTACTCCACTACTAAAGTCAGATACCATTGTTAGTTCCCCTGGGAACAAGAGAAATAGTCCATCCATGCATTGTTGCTCCTCTTTTGAAGGTTGTTCCCTTGTAGTAATGACTTGTTCAAGGTTCAGTTCCAAAACGTGAATGTATCTCTTGCATTTGAAACAATTTGATTTGTTCCATCATATATTCTTCAAACTGCAGCATGTCTCCAAGATGTGACCTCTTTTCCTACAAAACAGACATATTGGGGCAGAAGACTGGATGCGGTAAGATACTGTAGTATCAGATTGCTTAGGATTTCCTATTGGTGTTAATACAAGCAATATATTGTTCCAATGAGAGGTCCATTTCCTCTAGTCAAAGCCCACATCACCTTTAAGTAGTCAACATATACTGTAGAAAGTTCTGCATTATATTTAACTTTTGTTGTATCGTGGTTCTTGAACAATTTTCTAAAGTCTGTAGCCACTATATTGAGATTGGTTGTTCAACAGTTAGATCCTGTTTGATTAAAGAAACCCACTACCTCAATTATCTAAGACATCAATTGACAATTCAATTGTAAATGAGCTCCCATTACAAGTTTCCACAGTTGCAGGCTCAAATAGTTTCATTCATGACCTGTATGCACTGTCAACAGGTTGTCCTGGAAGATGATGTCTGCTATTGAAGCATGGCCCTGTCAGTGTTGTATTTTATCTTGAAGTAAAATGTTGATCAAAAGTTGAGGTTGTCAAACCAAATGCTTTTTACTGATGTGGTGCCTCTGTAACAAATGATCTCATGTCCTTCCTATCTAACCTGTGCTGCATTTGATTTAGCTTCCAATGCTGAAGCCGATCAAAATCTTAAGAAGTGTGCTTTCCAAAACTGCCAATTCACTGATCTATCAAATGGATCTCCAAGCTTAAATTTTTCTGGTGGAAGAATTGGTACCTGTGAATTTTGTTGTATTCCTTGATGTTTGAAAGGCATTTGAAGTTGTTGATTAGTTTTTGAATTTGCAAAAATATTGAGGTTGTAGACTTGCTTGCTGAGCCAGTGTGTTTGACTGCAGACGTTTCGTCACCCTGCTACGTAACATTATCAGTGCATCTCCAGTGAGGCATTGGTGTTCTGTCCCGCTTGTTATTTATATGCCTCGGTTTGCTGGGGTGGTTGTC